CCTCCACTAGCACCCATTTTTTTTTATTTTGACCCACTGTGTATTTGAGTTTGACACCCTGATCTAAACCTTAAAATCTAACCCCACCCCACATCTCTCTCTCCCTCGCTCTCTCTCTCTCTCTCTCTCTCTCTCTCTCTCTCTCTCTCTCTCTCTCTCTCTCTCCTCCAGACCTGTCGTGGTTGAACTGGTGTCTGACCGGCTCGTGTCTCTTCAGCCTCGTCCTCATCCTCTTCTTCAGGGAGTCGTACGACCGCCTCTACCTGGACGTCTTCGTCTCCGTGTGACACTGTTGAGGACAACAACAAACAAACAAACAAACAAAAAAACACTTAAGGACTAAATAATTAATCTTGCACAAAGAGGAGGCGAAGGGAAAGTGGAAACCCCCACACTCTTATTTTAGATTTTAGGACGTAAATGTATATATTGCTAACAGTGCTGACGGATTGTTTACTCTTTTACGTCTCGATGCCATGTGACTGTTTAACACATCATTACCTGTTTTGTTTGTTTCTCAGTCTATGTTTGTGTGTAAACAAACGGATTAATTTTCCTAACCAGGCACAGCATGACGGACTGTTAGAGGCCATTGTTTACACATCATGTCATATTTCTTTCATCGTGTTTTCGATCCACTTGACGCTGACAAACACAACGAGCTTCTGACTCCGGATCAGCATCGAGTGTCGACCCCTAACGAGGAAGTAAAGTTTCATCAGCCAATCAGTAGGCCTGGATTTGTGCTGAGTCGGGGCTAAACGGGCGCCCTCCTGCTGTTTTAGTGCTGCTCCAAACCTCTGAGACTGTCATTGAGAGGCAGGTACTTGTATCATGTTGTATGGCCCTCTCTAGATGAATATTATGCAAAAATGATTTCCCAAATTGATGACTGGATGCTGGCCAAGGAAAGGAGAAATATTCCGAACTGATTATTTATGGATAATTGTGTCCCTTTTTGGGGAGATTTGCTTTTAAATCTAACTTTTTTTTACAGTCTTTTTAAACGTTTTACTCAGTTTCTTGCTAGTATTTATTGGGAATGTCTCAACACTAACGCAGTCGCTGAAACGGGATGTTTGGTGACGATTTAATCCTAAAGGAAATCACTTTATTAAACAGGCGTGATGATTACGTCGTAATTGCCGAGCTGCTCCTCCTCCTCCTCCAAAGCACCAGCAGGTGTCTCCGATGAGAGTCGACTGACGACGAAACCTGAAGGGAGAAAGGAAGTCGCTTTTTTCTTGGATTCCTCGACTGACAAAACTGGAGCTGTGACAAAAACCAGTTCCAGACGAAACCACAAAGAAACACATGAAGGCGAATTCAAAACGGACTCTCTAACATGTCCATAGTCTGTCTTTGTCTCGTTCAGCAGCTATAGGACGTGTTTGCCGTGTGCCCCTCGGGGTCCTTAACGTCTTCCCTGGTGCTTGTTCTCTATTTTTTACTCTCCTTGTACAGAAAAAGGTTGTCTTTGTACCTTTTTTGACGTGTTGCCTTAATTGCCTAGTGCTGTGCGTTCAGCCCCCCCCTCTCTCTACCACACTGTGACTCTTTTATCTGTATATATTGTTAAAGGTCATGTACTTGTGTCCTGCTGCACTCTCTCTGTGGTTATAAATGTCCTTGTTCTGTGAAAAAGGAAAAAGAACAAATGTGACTGTTGAATATTTCCAGCACCTTATTAAAATAAACATTTTAAGATTAACGCTGCTGTGGTTCTCCTTGTGTCGAAGGTTATCGAGACGATTCAGAGGAATTTGAATTCTATACCCTCCTTCTTTAACTTGTCTTTCTTAGCTATTCTTACACATTTTACATGTCAATTAGAGCCTTTTATTTGCCTTTCAATAAGGGGAATTAACTCTAATCTTTGCTCAAAGTTGTATCATGCATTGTTCAACAAGTGAAGCTCAGCGTAAGTTCAACCAGGAAGACCGACTTTACTCATTTATTTACTATTCCCATGTAACTACTCTCTCTCCTCTCAATAAGTGATCGGGGGCGTCACTCTCCAGCTTAACCAATCACTTCGCTCTATTCCCAAGAGCCTATCATAGCGCTCTGCCAAACCTTTTAAGTCTGCTCTCCCCTCTGACAGCTGTCATTTCAGGTGACACGACGCAACGTTCCGTCCCTCTGAATCCAGGGTCAAGCTAAGCCCCTCCCCTTCAGACCGACCCAACTATCCATTCACCACCACCAGTGTCTAGACCCCGGGGGGGTTTCATCGGATCGGTTCTACCCTCCCGAATGATACTTCCTGCACAACGGGGCCTAATCGCCAACATCACCATTTCATTAATTTGTGTATCTCTGCAATAAATATGTATACTTACATCAAAACCGTCTTTACTGATTGAACTGAGGAGATATTGTTTATCCTGTTTCTTTTATTTTTTAACAATATGGTTTGTTGATTACAGTGTACTCTAACTTATTCTGAATATCTTATTGTGTGTCTACCATAAAAACTCTGGAGGTAAGTATATTGTTGAAGTTTATATGCATACAGTTAACTCTTTTATTAGTAACAGTTTCAACTTTAGTGCAATGTCTTGTGTATTACTTGTTTCTGCATCTACAACTAAATATATAAGTAAATCTAATCTCATCTAAATAAACCTAAATAAAAAGTATTTTATTTCTGCTTCCAACCTGATTCAACGGAGGTGAAAGGACTTAAGGAATAATCCTAAAATTCCATCTTAACTCTGAACTCTAAATGAGCTGATTGTAATCTGCTGCAAAACACAAACAATATGCAGGAATGTGAGTCTGTTTCCAAGGCATTTTTCTTTTAGTTCGGTTGGATGATATAAACAGAACAGAATAAAAGTACAAACATCGTAAATATTCTCTATATTAATAAGTCATTGGTTCTTCTTTTAGACCAGAACAAACTGATAACTCAACAGGAACTATCAAAAACATCCCAATGGAAGTTTAAAGTCACAACATTTCATTAACCAAAATCAAGTGGTTATAGTATAAATCAGAAAAGTAGTATGACAAAAACATTAATCATATTAAAAACATCTGTTGATAAAGATGGACTATATATGCAAGGATGTATGTGGGAGTTCATGTATGAATATTGTCAAACAGAGTTTATACAACCAGACAGATTTTTCTCTTGTGAATTGTCATAGGTCTAATAAATTAATTGTCCTCTTTTTTTGTTGCACATGCAGATTCTCCAGGGTTGTCCTCAGTCTCTGGTTGTAAATGTCTCTCTGGATCTGAGTTCCTGGCTGGTTCTGTTCCTCCAGAGTCCTCTCCAACAGCTTCTGTTTCCATGTGTTCAGCTGAGCGGCTGGCTGGAGGCTCTGCATCTCTGTTCTCCTCACTTTGAGTTTGATGAAGCTGTGAGGACTGACGACCAACACACTTATGGCTTTTGATCTTATGACTCCATGTGAATCGTTTGTCGCAAACACTGCAGCTGTATGGTTTCTCTCCTGTGTGAATTCTAATGTGGCACTTTAAACTTCCTCTCACTGCAAAAGATTTCTTACAAATTGAGCAGATGTATGGTTTCTCTCCTGTGTGGATTCTCATGTGCAGATTTAAATATCCTTTCCATGCAAATGTTTTCTCACAGACTGAGCAGCTGAATGGTTTCTCTCCTCCACTACATCTTGAATCACTGACAGGGTCTTGTTTATCTCTCTGAAAGTTTGAACCTGGTTCTCTAGTCTTCTTCCAATCAGCCCTGTCTTCATTGTCAGGTTCAGAAGAGTCATCAGCTTCTGTTTCCATGTGTTCAGCTGAGCTGCTGGCTGGAGGCTCAGCCTCTCTGTTCTCCTCAGTTTGAGTTTGATGAAGCTGTGAGGACTGACGACAAACACACTTATGGGTTTTGACCAGATAGCTCTGTGTGAATCTTTTTTCACAAACACTGCAGCTGTATGGTTTCTCTCCGGTGTGGACTCTCATGTGTCTATTTAAATCGCCTCTCTGTGTAAAATATTTCTTACAAAATGAGCAGCTGTATGGTTTCTCTCCTGTGTGGTTTCTCATGTGGTGCTTTAAACTTCTTCTATGTGTAAAAGTTTTCTTACAGACTGAGCAGCTGAATGGTTTCTCTCCTGCACTACGTCTTGAATCACTGACAGGGTCTTGTTTATTTCTCTGAGAGTTTGAACTTGGTTCTCTGGTCTTCTTCCAATCAGCCCTGTCTTCAGTGTCAGGTTCAGAAGAGTCTCCAGGGTTGTCCTCAGTCTCTGGTTGTAAATGTCTCTCTGGATCTGAGTTCCTGGCTGGTTCTGGTCCTCCACAGTCCTCTCCATCACCTTCTGTTTCCAGGTGTTCCGTTTGTCTTTGATGAAGCTGAGAGGACTGAGGTTTCTCTTCATCATCTTCACTCTTCACAGGGACAGGAGTGAATGTGAACTCGGTGATATCAGCCTCCTCCAGCCCTTGAAGCTGCTCTCCCTCCTGACTGATCCAGAGTTCGTCCTGCTCCTCTTTAATGTGTGGGGGGGGTTCTGGGTCCTCCTGGTCCAGACTGGAGCTCCACTCCTGCTGCTCAGGGGGAACCTCTTCTTTAACCACCACCAGCTGCTGGACGTCTGCAGGAAACAGGAAACACACAGTAAGAAAAAACTGTTAACTGTTAGAATTTAAAATGTAATGACCATTACCAACATTAACATTTCAAATGCTTGACTATCATTTAGCTAAGTCCCGCCCCCTTTGTATGTCTGTTGGCTCAATTGTCTGTCAATTACACCTTTTTCCAGATGCTCCGGAGAGTTTCAGGAAAACAGGTGAGTTAGTACTGTAGCTGATATACAAGGAAGTTACACTGCTTAGTTTGGGCAGGGAGAGTGTGGGGGCGAAGTTTCTCCTTTTCTGTTTGCAGATATGAGTTTCTACATATAGCTTTGTGTAATTCATGATCATGTTAGTTATCAGGGTTAGATCTGCATTTACTGGCTGTATGAGCTGATGGTGCATTTTAGTGATTATTTTTAAGGTAAAAGGGCGCTGCTATTGCACAGCTCACTGTGCCCTTCAATGCACACGNTGCGTGCGTGCGTGCGTGCGGTGGCCGTGGCGTGCGTGCGCTGCGGTGCGTGCCGCTTGGAATTGATCTCACCCCGTCGTACAAAAATAATGATTCTGCCTCATGATCCTTTGAAACTGATGGCCGTTCAAAGCTCTGATCCGGGCCAGGAATTAAATGCAAACATTAAAATGTATGAACTTCGCCCTGCGCTGTGAATCAGAATGCGATGTCTCTTTAGACCTCTTAAAATGATTGCAGTGAGCCATTTGGAAAAAAGCAGGCCTGATGCGATGCTGAGCTGGAAACGCCCGAACTGTTGCGTTTCGATGCTCTGTTTGGCGTTCAGAGGAAGCGCTTGCCACATGTGTTGTGTGTTCAGGGCTTTGAGCAGCAGACGGGACCTCGCGCTGTTGTTTTGGCTTTCTTCAGTTTCGAGCCTTCTTTCCTCCTCCTCTCTTCCTGCATCTGCGTTCCCTGTGTTCTCTGCTGCTCTTGCGATAAAAACAACAAACACTTTAAACATGTATGATGTATATATCTCTCTTATACTTGTGAAAGGCGAACTCCTGCATATAAATGCAACAATGTAGATAAAAGCAAGGAGAGTAAACAGGCCCGCTCTGTTGTTAATAATGGATGCATTTAATCCATGCCGTTTGTTTGTGTATGCTGCTGCAGAAATACAACAAAATGCCGTCCCAAACAAGAAAGGGTTGCTGAGTTGCTTCAAGCCAAACGACGGGAAGTGATAGCTAATAAAAAAAACCCATTCTTTTTGCGGGAACTTTGGGATGCTTGTGCCCCTCGAGGGTGTTAAATTCTTAAACAAAAATTAATCCCATAATCAACTTTCATCCTGCAACAAAATCTGTTGAAAGTAGTTTTATTCTTTCAAAGAAAACCATTCAATTAGATTAGATGCTTATTAAATTAGATAAAGCCTTTACACTTTACTCATGTCCCAAAATGTAAATTGTTGTTGTACATAATTAAATAAGAGTATCTACTGCTGATGCCAGGATGTATGACAGTATATAGTCTATAAAATACAGAGACCTATCTACTTCTGATGTTCAGAAATGTAACAAAGAATTGGTTATTGTGAAAGCTATGCAAAAGTAGTACCTGCATATGTTAAGGTGTATTCCTTATAGTTCATTCTCTACTTTAAAGAGTCCTTCTCCTGCTGATGTTCAGGTGTTAGCATCAGTAATGTAGTGTCTCTACTTTAAAGAGTCCTCTCTGCTTGCATGTTCAGGTGTATATCAGTATGGTAGTGTCTCTACTTTAAAGAGTCCTTCTTCCCTGCTGATGTTTCAGTTATATATCATCGTACTGTAGTGCTCTCTACTTTTAAAAGAGTCCTTCTCCTGCTCTGCATGTTCAGGTGTAGTATCAGTATGTAGTGGCCTCTACTTTAAAGAGGTCCTCTCCCTGCTGATGTTCAGGTGTATATTCAGTATGTAGCTGTTCTCTACTTGTAAAGAGTTCCTCTCTCTGCTGATGTTCAGGTGTATATCAGTATGTAGCTGTCTTCTACTTTAAAGAGTCTCTCCTGCCTGATGTTCAGCGGCTGTATATCAGTTATGTAGTGTCTCTACTTTATAAAGAGTCCTCTCTGCTGATGGTTCAGTGTATGATCAGTATGTAGTGTCTCTACTTTAAAAGAGTCCGTCTTCTGCTGATGTTCAGGTGTATATCAGTATGTAGTGTCTCTACTTTAAAAGAGTCTCGCCTGCTGATGTTCAGGTGTATATCCGTATGAAAGTGTCTCTACTTTTAAAGAAGTCCCATCTCCGCTGATGTTCAGGGTGTATTATCAGTATGTAGTGTCTCGTCTATACCTTTAAAGAGTCCTCTCCCTGCTGATGTTCATGTGGTATACAGTATGGAAGTGTCTCCTACTTTAAAGAGTCCTCTCCTGCTGATGATTTCAGCGTGTTATATTCAGTATGTAGTGTCTCTACTTTAAAGAGTCCTCTCCTGCTGATGTTCAGCGTGTATATCAGTATGTAGTGTCTTCTACTTTAAAGAAGTCCTCTCCTGCCTGATGTTCAGGTGTATATCAGTTAATGTAGTTGCTCTTCCTACTTTTAAAAGAGTCCTCTCCTGCTGATGTTCAGGTGTATATCAGTATGTAGTGCTCTACTCTCAATGTCTCCTTGCTTTAATGTTCAAAAAAGCTCTTTATTGTTCTCATAACTGTCTGTGATGCAGCACCTCTTTTCAACCTCTCTGTTCTGAAACCAGAGCCCAGTCTGCTCTGATTGTTAGCTGCGCATGGGTTTCCCTCGACAAAAAGAGCAATGGGATTTTCATCCATAGGATTTGTTGGAAAATAGCTCGAAATAAGGTCTGTGGAGAACGAAACCTGTTTGTTAAATGCACGTTTTGTTCAGCCGGATTTCTACCCCACTTTTATAATTTTCTAATCATAAATCTAGTCGCCAGAAGCAAAATGCTAACGTTATGCTATAAAGTAGCTACAGCAGGGTCGCTGCTTCAACGTCACGCCAACTTAAGATCCATATTAAAAAATACAGATTCTAAATGGTTCAAGTTGAAGCGTTTGTTTGAACAGTCTGCAGGAGGCAGGGACTTGCTTTCAAGCAGAACAGGGCAAACAAACTTAGAGGAGTGTTTACGTGTTCGGCGTAATGACGTACAACGGCCTCCACAACTTCTGTAGTCCTATTCAGCCACTTGGTAACAACCATCGTTTTTCAGACACGTGTGGGGTCACTGCTGATGGATTTAATGTCGTAGAACAAAACGTGATCCGTCTCTTCAATGCGTCTCAACCACAGACCTTATTTCAGATATTTTCCTAAATCCTATGGAGAGATCCCATTGGCTCTGAGACGAGGGAACAGGAAGTCTTTTACCCACGAGCACGTCGGGTGTTTTAGCTTTTGTTGTCGCTGCCTGTCATTGCTACAAGCAGCTGGCTGGCAGAAAACTGGTGTTGCTGTCACCGTGTCTGGCGTTTCTAAACCCTTTCTTTTGTCTCCTCCTTTTATATGCTGCTCCTAACATTTCCCCGTTGTGTTTCTGTTGAGTCACTTCTTCCTCCTGTGGCTTTTTTTTTGTGTGTGTGTCGTCGCACCTCAATGTCTCCTTGGGTGTCCCAGAAGTCCTTAATTGACTTCTCCATGATTGTGAAAAACGAGCCGTGCTCTCAAATGGCTCATTTAGCAGCAGTGCGATCACAGCGCCTGTTACTTCATCTCCAACATATTAAAAAGTGCTTTCTGCTTCAGATTAGAAACGATGGGCTGCAAAAAAATCCAACCTGCCGCCATTTGACAGCTGGCGGCTAATTTGCCAATTCATCAACGGTGAATTTGAGGTATTTTGCCGCTCCTGTAGGAAAACACACATATTAAGGTGTAAATGCTCCAGCAGCATTAATAATAACCAGGAGTCAGGCTTATGGGAGATGTAAGTAGGACGACACACACACTTAGGTGGTGGATTTATTGCTTACAGAGCGTTTTGTTTACAGGTTTATTGGCTGTGACAGTTATTGTATGACAGCAGTGTATCCTAAGGATCATATAAAAGTGACACATGCTCATTAATGACATGTTACATGCCTAAATACAGCAAGCTCAGCAGGTGCACTCTGCACACAACACTATATCATAACCAGTGTACTCAAATGTACAGTTCATTAGTGAGCGGTAACCTGAAAAAGATTTCTAACTTCCTGTAGTTTCTTTGATGAAAACACACTTCTTTTGACTGCAGGCTGCCAATAAAGTCTACTTTCCTAAAAAATGTAAGTAAAAATGGTTCTCATTTCTCATTTCTGTTTGTAGCACTTAAAAAGGTTCGGGTCTCTAATGGCTTTTCATTGAAATCAAACAGACTTTACATGCACCGATTGTTGAATGTGCGTCCTCATTGTTCATTGCACCTCTTTAAGATTGTATGTCACTTTGGATCTCTATTTTGATCTTATAAATTCAAACCACTGGTCATTTCTAGGTCAGTAGACTTCCTATCATCTTAGTTTAAACTTGGCTAAATATGGTTGAAACATAAGAGTATTTGGTCGCTGGGTTAAAGGATTTCAACAGGGTTTTATTGAATGTATTTGTATGAGCCTGTCGCATGCTTAAAGGTCCCATGTCATGGCCATTTCTACTGATCATAATTCCATTGTTGAGGTCTACTAGAATAGATTTATATTGTTCAATGTTCCAAACTCACATTGGTTTCTCATACAGCATCTCTGTATAGTATGTGTATTCACTCTCTGTCCTACACGGCTTGTTGGAGCTCCTGCCCCCCCCCCCCCCCACACCCCTCCCTGTGAGCCCAGTGTGCTCTGATTGGTCGGGACGCGGCTCGTTGCTGCGAGGCTCGTTGCTGCGAGGCTCGTTGCTGCGAGGAGCGGACCGGTTTCCGGGTCGGTGATACAGCGAGAACAAGCGAAACTCATCCTGAGCACACACAAACGCACAGCCGAAGTAAAAACAATAAGTGTGGATTGAAATTGAGTAAGAAAAAGGTTTATAACGCTGTGAGAATGGGTCTGCAGAGAGAATTTCTCCACGATCCCAACTCGTCTATTACCAGCGTTCAGGGAGCT